ATGATGCGCTCGATCGCAGGCGGGCGCAGAGCAGGTCGCAGCTCCCTGCCGCAGCGTTCCACGCGGCAGGATCGAGGCTCGCCGAAAGTGCGACGAGGTATGGTCATGCAGGCAGTGTTGAGCTCATCCTCCTCATCTTCCTCCTGCTCATCCGCCACCTCGTCCTCCAGTGTACGCAGCTTGCGCGTGACCATATCTATATACATACCTATACGACCACCCTTCGGGTGATAAGGAGGTTCGGGGGGGGGAGGAACCAACGTCTCACTCGATCGGTCTCACTATCGATCTCACTATCGATCTCAGTATCGGTCTCGCTCGATCGATCTCCCTCGATCGATCTCACAATCGATCTCACTCGATCTATCTCACAATTGATCTGACTATCGATCTCACAATCGATCTCACAATCGATCTCACAATCGGTTTCACATTCGGTCTCACTATCGATCTCACTATCGATAGCACAACCGCTATCACAATCAACGTCATCATCATCATCAACAACAACATCAACATCAACATCATCATCACCAACACCATCATAATCGGGACACCGTCCTCATCATCAACACCAACATCATCATCATCATCATCAGCAGCAGCATCATCATCGGGACACCATCATAATCACCATCGTCATCATCATCATCATCATCATCATGATCAACATCATCATCATCATCAGCAGCAGCAGCATCGGGACACAGTCATCGTCATCATCATCAGCAGCAGCATCATCATCGGGACACCATCATAATCACCATCGTCATCATCATCATCATCATCATCATCATCATCATCTTCGGGACACCATCATCATCTCATCCTCATCATCGACATCATCAGCATCATCAACATCATGATCAGCATCATCATCATCGTCATCATCGGGGCACCATCATCATCGTTACCAACATCAGCATCAACAACATCATCATCATCATCATCATCATCATCACCATCGGGACGCCATCATCATCAACATCATCATCACCATCAGAATAATCATCATCATCGGGACGCCATAATCATCATCAACCTCATCATCATCAACATCATCATCATCGGGACACAATCATAATCAGCATCATCAACATCAACATCATCATACTCATCATCATCGGGACACCATCATCGTCATCATCATGATCATCAACATAATCATCATGATCATCATCATCCTCATCATCGGGACACCATCAGCATCATCATCATCGACATCAGCATCATCATCATCGGGACACCATCATCATCATATCATCATCATCATCATCGTCCTCATCATCATCATCATCATCATCAGCATCACCATCATCATCATCGTCATCATCATCAGCAGCATCATCATCAGCATCACCATCATTATCATCTCCATCATCATCATCATCATCATCATCATCATCATCATCATCATCATCATCATCATCATCATCATCATCATCATCGCGGGACACCGCGGGACACCGGCGGGACACCGCGGGGCACCGCGGGACACCGGCGGGACACCGGCGGGACACCGGCGGGACTTCGGCGGGACACCGCGCGCCACCGGCCGCCCGGAAGAGACACATTTGGTCCGGCCGCGCCTCAGCCACAGGGACACCGACGGGGCACCAGCGGGACACCGGCGGGACACCGCGCGCCACCGGCCGCCCGGAAGAGACACATTTGGTCCAGCCGCGCCTCAGCCACAGGAGACTTTCCTCTCGCCCGCCCACGCAGCTTCGCCTCGCCCGCGCACACGGCACGCACGAACACGAAACCGAAATCGATTGCGAAGGCCTGACGGCCGGTGCCGCCGACCCTGTTCGCAATGCGCAGCAAGAGGCACGGGCTGTGGGATGGTTTGGGGGAACGGGGAGAAGGACGAGAAGGTGGGGGAGGGAGGTGTCGTATCTGACCCGGGACTTCCCCGGGACTCCCCCGGGACCCCCCCCGGGACCTCCTCTCCCCCCCCCGTCGGGGAAGGGAAAGGGAAGGGGCTTCCCTTCGACTCAATGACGACGTTGCTCAAGGTCGGTACGGGGGGGGGGCGTCGTATCTGACTCGGGGGGGGGGTCGCTACCCCCCCCGCTACCCCCCCCCCCTCCCGGCGGGGGAGGAATGAAAGGGAAGGGGCTTCCCTTCGACTCAATTACGAGGTTGCTCAAGGTCGGCTTGGCTGGAGCCCAGGGGAAGAGGAGTCCCAGGGGGGGGCGTCGTATCTGACCCGGGGGGGGGGGTCGCTACCCCCCCCCCCCTCCCGGCGGGGGAGGGATCAAAGGGAAGGGGCTTCCCTTCGACTCAATTACGAGGTTGCTCAAGGTCGGCTTGGCTGGAGCCCAGGGGAAGAGGAGTCCCAGGGGGGGGCGTCGTATCTGACCCGGGGGGGGGGTCGCTACCCCCCCCCCTCCCGGCGGGGGAGGGATCAAAGGGAAGGGGCTTCCCTTCGACTCAATTACGAGGTTGCTCAAGGTCGGCTTGGCTGGAGCCCAGGGGAAGAGGAGTCCCAGGGGGGGGCGTCGTATCTGACCCGGGGGGGGGGTCGCTACCCCCCCCCCTCCCGGCGGGGGAGGGATCAAAGGGAAGGGGCTTCCCTTCGACTCAATTACGAGGTTGCTCAAGGTCGGCTTGGCTGGAGCCCAGGGGAAGAGGTCTCCCAGGGAAAGGGAAGGACAGAGACGACGAGTACAAAGAATGACGGAGATGACGGCTCGAACGGAAAAGCCCCTCACACACGCCGACAGGGTCGGCGGATTTCCCGGTAGGGGGGCTCTCCGTTCCACTTCGATCTCACCCCCTCACCTCCGTATACATATGCTTGTAAGTATGTGTGTATATATATATATATATACAAGGCTGCATTGGCGCTTCGCGCCATGTGCCTTGTTCTGGACGCTTCTCGGAAAAGCAATAAGAGCCGGAAAGGGCAAATATTCCGTTGAGCGGCGGTGTAAACAGGAGGATTGGCGTCGATGGGTTCGAAATGGAATAGCGCCGAGTGCGGCAGCAGTGCATGACAGCAAGTGACGGTTGTGTCCTCATTTGCTCTTTCCGTTGACTCGTTTGAATCGTCCCGTTGACATCCTCCTCCCGTTGACCTCTTTGTCAGTGGTCCGCCCCTCATGGGAGGAGGTATGGAAAGAATGCCGCTTGGTTTGTTATTCGCCACCTCTTATCCTTACTCATTTTTTCCTCCTCCGTTCCTCCTCGTTCGCCTCCTCCGTTGGTGGAGCCCCGCTTTGGAGTAAGTAGAGAATGGTCCCTTCGAACGCCGACGAAGTGCAGTAGATCCGAGCGAACTCGTCCAGAGTCTCCGTGTGCGAAACACTCGTTTCCAGGACAACGACGACGAAGACGACGACGACGACGACGACGACGACGACGACGACGACGACGACGACACGCCATCGTATTTTACAACAGGGACAAAATAAACGTCGGAACATGTACGCGCCTGGAAGGCAGCTCCCTTTTTCAACCTGACGAGTGGTCGCTTCCTGAATGCCTGGAGGGGTCCTGGACGCGTGTGGGGCTTCTGAGGTCCTTTCGAACCACCGTCCTGCGAACGACGGCATCGTGGAGTTTAAGAGAATTGCTGAAAACTATATTGGAGCGGTGTGGGCTCGCGTTTGAGCTCCTGGTGACCCCCCGTACCAGAGGACTCCTGTTGGGGCTGTTTTGGGCCGTCTTGGAGCCATCTTGGGCCGTCCCGGAACCCTCTGGTGGCCGTTTTGGGAGGCCGGGCTGGCCAGGGGCTTTTCGGGGGCCCTCTTGGGACTCTCTTGGGGGCCTCCCGTGGCTCTCTTGGGGCTCTCTTGGGAGTTCTCGGGGCCCTCTGGGGCCCCTCTTGGGCCGCCTTGGGCTTCTCTTGATCCGTCTTGGAGCTCTTTTGGGCCGCCTTGGGCCGCTCATAGAGGCTTCGGAGGCCGTCCTGGGGCGATATTGAGAGTCTCTGGGGATGACGCTGTGAAGGCGGAAAAAGCGAATATCTTCAAAAGCGTACGTTTCCTCAGGGAATGGGACGATTTGGGGCTCTTGGGGGTCCCTTTCGGAGCCTCTTGGACCGTCTTGGCGGGCTCGTGGGCCGTCTTGAAACCATATTGGGTTCTCTTTGAGCGCTGATGGGCCGTCTCGGGGCCCGTTTTGGGCCCGTGGGCTCCTATCGGCAGGGGCGTCCAACTGCCCGGAAGGCCGCCAGGACTCCGAAAGGGCGTCCAGGGCGTTCGTTAGGTGGAGGGCAGGGGCGTCTGGAGTGTCTTGGGGGGGGGGGGGTCCGGTTTAGGGGGGGTGGGGTTCCGGGTAATACAAATATATGAATTGGAATCTCTCTCTATTATAGATATATATATATATATATATATATATATATCCGCCGACGCGCGTCAAAATTGATTTGGAATTCCAAGAGGACCTCTACCTTGTCATGCGCAATCGGGATACAAGGAGCTAAGTACATTGGAGGACAAGGTGGCGGATGAGCAGGAGGAAGATGAGGAGGATGAGGAGGGAGGTGGATGAGGACGAACAGCAGTAGGAGGAGCTGGAGTGGAAGAATCGGGAGGAGCAGGAGGACCATGGGGAAGGCGGAGGAGGGGAAATGAGGGAGGGGGGCGATAACGATGAAAAAAATCAGATCCAGAAAAGTGGCCAGCGCTTTGGCAAGAGCGCCGCTCTGAACGACGGGAGCAAAGTGCCGATCCGAACACGAGGCACACGATGCAGCGGGAATACAATTAAGAAACACCGAACATAATCGGATTCTAGACGAAAGCCAGAATCATCAATATTCGAACTCCTGTGTGTAAAAAACGCACGCGGAGAGGGCCGAGCATCTTCCGGACAGAGTCAGGGGTGGCAGAAGAGTAGTATTCATCATGTGTACCATTGAAAAGTAGAGGAGGAGGAGGAGGAGGAGGAGGAGGAGGAGGAGGAGGAGGAGGAGGAGGAGGAAGAGGAGGAGAAGGAGGAGAAGCAGGTCTGCTGCCCAGCAGAGACTGGCCCCGACGCCCCCCGAGGTCATCAGGTTCTGGCCTGCCGTAGACGCCGCGGCGTTCCCCGGCACGGCGCTGGCGTGGATGCGGGAGAACCCGGAGAAGGCATCCGAGAGAGATCGAGAGCGAGTCGGGGGCGGCAAAGAGGGGGGTGATGACTAGGGGGGGGGGGATATCATGGCGTGGGCCATGATATTTCGCCAGATCTCATGGCGCCTCTGCTTTTTTCATTACGTCCCTGGCCCCCCCGCTGGGCCGCGCACATGCCGCCGGCCATGATTTGCACCCTCCCCTCTTGGACACCCCCCTCTTGGCCGCTCCCGAGCGAGGGAAAGGGGGTTCACAGCGTTGAGATAATTCATTCCCATGCCCCGCGGCCAGGTGGAGGAAAAACCCGGCCACACGAAGGCACGGCGATGCAAATGCGTTCAGCATCAGGCTCATAGCCCGTTCCTTCGAGCCTCGACTGAGCCAAGTGAGGTGACTACGGATGCAGTGCATGCACCAGGGTATAGAAGCGCTGATGCAGCGCATGCTACAGGACTATAGGTACTTGGTACCAACAGTGGACGTCCTCGTCCCCCTCCTAATCCGCCTCTCCTCTCCCTCCTCTGCCTCTTCCCCCCAGTCCTTCTCCACCATCCTCGTCGTTCTCTCCTCCTCCAGCTCCTTCTCCCCTCCCTCATCCTGAATCCTCGTGCCTCCTTACCCTCCTCATTTGCCTGCCTCGTCCTCCTTCCTCATTGGGCACGTTCCCCCAGCCTATGCCCGCATCCTCCCATTCCTAGTTTCTTCGACTCCTTCTGTGTATCCCCCCTCCCTCGTCTGCGTCTTCCTCCTGGTCCTTCCTCCTCGCCCTTCCCTCTCTCGCTTCTCGGAGCACCTCGGACATTGAAGCTCCACACACCACGCGTGCACAGCGGAGCTAAGACGCCCTTCAGAAGAAGGCGTAGGATCAGCGCAAGCCCGCTGAGGGTGCACGGTTGTGCCTTCCTCGCGCTTCGCATCATCATCTTCCTCCTTCGTCCTTCGTTTTCCCATCAACACTCCTTCTCTCATCCCTCATCCATCCTCCTTGGTCCCTCCAGCCCCTGCCTTCCATCTCCGCCTCCTCCGCCTCCTCCCTCTTCATCTTCGATCGAAGCCAGTCGTTGTTGCATACCCCTCGTGCCCCCCCTCTCCCTTCGGATCGACCCTCCTCCTCCTTCTCCTCCTCCTCCTCATTATTCTCCTTCTCAGCAGTCGCCCAAGCCGCACCCGATGGCCAGCACCCCAGGCGTCAACGGGCTGCCGGTCGCTCTCTGTCTACGTCAGTGTTTTCCCGACAGGTCCGCTTCCACCACTGCGCCAAGCGCTTAGAAGTGCTGGAGCCATCATCCGATGTGCTCTCCGATGTAGAGCTCCGCTGGCCGTCACTGCGGCGCGAGCTCGTGCAGATGCCCCCAGCCCACCAGTGGGGCGTGGTGAAGATACTCTGCTCTGGCTGGATCGCATCCCGCAGGATGCACGCTCTGAAGCCTCATCCTCGCCACTTCGGCTGCTCTGCGCAAGGCTCGATGTGCCATTGTTGGACATGCCCCCATCTCACTCACTTCTCCGCTCTCCCCTTCGCCTTCCCCAATGCTCGCGTTCTCGTCATGGGGGAACTCGGCACCAAGCAGGGCCATGCCTCCCCAGGCGATGCTCGCCCTGTGGCCATACGCAGGATGATCATCGCGTTCTATCTTCGCCAAACCGTGAAATTCGAGCTGGATTCTTCGCCAGAGCGTCAAAGAGAACGCGTTCTGGGGCTCTTACGTCTTTGCTCACAGATGCCAGCTGGCGGCAGGACAGAGCGCCGAACTATGAACTATGGGTTCGCTGCTGTGCGGCGGATGAAGAATTCGGGCGGGGCGCTCATGTTAGCCACCAGCCCTCTGGGCATCGGTGGTTTAGAGCGTTTCCTCTTCCACCCCTCCGTCTTCCCCGTCGGGGAGGGGTTTACCCCTCCCCCTCCCCCCTCCCAATGGACCTGGAGGGGGGGGGCAGCGAGGTGTCAGAGCGTCCAAAACGGCCTCGGCGAGGAAGCCAAAATCATTGATTTTACAAGGGTTTTGGCCCCATTTTGGCCTCATGGGGGGGCATGGTTCCGCGCTAATTAATGAATTTGGGCGGGGCGCTCATGTTAGAAACTGTCGTGGCAACCCCTGCTCCCGCCTCTTGCCGTCGAGCGCCGCCGCGCCGCTCCTTCCTGTTCGGTCGGGCTTCTCTTTCCCCGCGGTCCACTGCTCGATTGATGCGAGGCCCCGCCTCCGGTGAAGTGAGTGCGACCCCTCGGACGAATCGGCACGCCTCCTCCTCCTCCTCTTCCTCCTGCCTCATCCTCACCGTCCTCCCTCCTTCTCCTTCTTCCTCCTTCTCCTCCTCATCCTCCTCTTCCTCCTCCTTGATGACGCTGCGCCTCTTCCTCCTCCTCCTCCTCCTCTAATTCTTATCCTACCTCCTCCCCCTCCTCCTTCTCCTCGTCCTCCTCCTCCTCCTCCTCCTCCTCCTCCTCCTCCTCCTCCTCCTCCTCCTCCTCCTCCTCCTCCCTCCTCCCCCCCCCTCCTCCTCCTCCTCCTCTCCTCCTCCTCCTCCTCCTCCTCCTCCTCCTCCTCCTCCTCCTCCTCCTCCTCCTCCTCCTCCTCCTCCTCCTCCTCCTCCTCCTCCTCCTCCTCCTCCTCCTCCTCCCCCCGAGGCCTTCATCAAGAGGGAGCTGCTGCAAAAGTAGGGGGGGCGCGCGGCGCGCGCCGCCCCCGGGGGCGGGGCGCGGCCCGGACGCGCGGGGGCGGAGAGTCCCCCGAGGGCCGCCCGCCTCTCCGAGAGGCCGCCGCCCGGCCGCCCCGCCCGTCATTTTCCCCACCAGCCACGCGGCGGGGCTCGGTGGTTTATACCGTCGCCGAGCGCGCTCCACTTCTCGCGAGGTGCCTACCTCAGAGCGTGAGTGACCTGCCCCGCTTTCGCTTCCAGGCAACACCGAGTCATGCCACGCGCCTCCCCGCCAGTGCGGCCTGACCGGTGCGGCCGTAGTTTGGCGTCGCTTGGTAGCTCTTGGAAGCGAGGGTGGTCAAAAGCGAGGTAGGTTCGTCTGCCCCCTACTACAGTCGGCCTTGATTGGACAGGACAGGTGAGAGGACACAAGACCCTTCCAAAGGCCACATCGCCATGGGAGTGTAAGAAGGCACGTGTCGCGAGGCACAGGACACAAGGGTACCCTAGAGCTGGAAGGGTCGACCTACTAATCCGGGCCGACTGTACTCGCAAACGTCCGAAAAAAAAACATGTCATTTTCCCCACCAGCCACGCGGCGGGGCTCGGTGGTTATATATGCTACAGTCGGGGCGCTGAAGAAGGAAACCTTTTCGTTTTGGAGGGGCTCCGTGTTCCTTAGTTGTTTTACCGTTTGCCTCAGGTTTACCTTCGGTTGTCGATCGGAGATCGATGTTAAGCTAAAGGAAAGAATGGGCCTCGTTCCTTATCTAGGGTTCCTTAGGTCAACGTCCCGACTGTATCGCCGAGCGCGTTCCACTTCTCGCAAGGTGCCTACTCGCAGACGTCCGAAAAAACATGTCAGTTTCCCCACCAGCCACGCGGCGGGGCTCGGTGGTTATACCATCGCCGAGCGCGCTCCACTTCTCGCAAGGTGCCTGCTCGCAGACGTCCGACAAAAAAACAGGTCTTCCTCCAATGTCCTATGTCGTAATTCCCCCGCGGCGGGTCCAGGCAGTTTGCGAGTCGCTGATTTGCGACGATTCGTGCAACGCGCCTGTCCATATACGAACCTAGGCCTCCCAGATGGGGTCAGAGCAGATGGGGTCCGCCGCTCGCGCCGCATCGGCGATTCATCGGCGATGCGGCCCGATGTGGAGCCCGATTTTCTCCACGCCGGCGTCGCCGATACATCGCCGACGTCGCCGATGCATCGCCGGTTCGGCGCGATCCTCCGACCCCATCTACTCGGACTCCATCTACGAGGCCTCTAGCGCAGCACCCCGCAACCCCAGACCCCCCTCGGGTTACGAAACAGTCACGACGGGAGGTTTTTCCCAGTTTTCGGCCTCCAGGGGCTCTGACCGGACCTGTGGACCGTCCAGAAACGACTCGGGATGAGACGCCGGTCCCGGGAAATCGGTCGAGGCCCTTGGGGGTCGACGCAATGGAAAAATCATGACGGTGGGGCTCGACGTACACGCAGCACCCCGCAGTTGCTCAGCCACGCGCAGGAGGGGCAAGTCGTCTTCGAAGCACACCCCTGCTTCTTGGAAGGTGCGGGCCTTGTCTACAGACGTAGGGCCGGCGCCTTCCGAGAAGCCGCCTTACCCCCTCCCCACATACCCCCTTGTGCGCGTCGCCGGGTAGCAACCCGCAGCTGCGGATAAAGAGTTCCCGAGAGGAGCGAGTCCGAGGAGGAGCCTTTCAGTTGAAAAAGCACAAGGTGCACCAGAGGGGGGGGATCAACAATAATTTTTGTGTAGACATGAGAATTCAACAGTCTCTTTACCCGAAGGCATTCTGATTTTGCACGCAGCACGCATCCATCATGAAATCCCCCTCATGTGGGATGTTCTTACGCAGGCAGGCCCGATACTCCCGCCCGATGCGGTCTTGACAACGCCTCTTCCGAGCCCGGATGTCACCATGCCCAGGTGGCCTAAAACCGTTGGGAGAGGCCCCACAAGCTTTGGGAGAGCCCCCAGGGCCCCTTGGAGAGCCTGCTTCGTGGAGAGCCCCCCGAGCCTCTCAGGAAGTTTCCGAGCCCGTGTGGGAAACCTGAAGGCTCCTGGGAGAGGCTTCGAAGCTGAACTGGGAAGCTTCGGGGGCTCGTCAAGGAGGCCTCAGGTTTTTGGGGAAAAAGGCCTGGATCGCAGGAGCTTCTGGGCCTCGGGGCAAGGAGGAAGAAATGGAGGGAGGAGGAGGAGGAGGAGGAGGAGGAGGAGGAATGAGGACGGAAGACAAGGGGGCAGGAGGAGGAGGAGAAGGACGACGATGACGATGACGAGGACACGCAACGACGACGGCGACGACGACGTTGACGACGACGACGAAGACGACGACGACGACGACGACGACGACGACGACGACGACGACGACGACGACGACGACGACGACGACGACGACGACGACGACGACGACGACGACTACGAGGACGAGGACGACGAGGGAGGAGGAGGGGAGGAGGAGGAGGAGGAGGAGGAGAAGGAGGAGGAGGAGGAGGAGGGAAGACAGGGGGGAGGAGGAGGAAAAGGAGGGGGAGGAGGATGAGGAGGAGGAGGAGGAGGAGGAGGAGGGTGAAATGGAGGAGGCGAGGAAGAAGAGGAGGAGGAGGACGGAGACGACGACGACCAGGACGGCGACGACGTCCACGTCGACGTCGACGACGATGACGCCGACGTTGACGACGACGACGACGACGACGACGACGACGACGACGACGACGACGACGACGACGACGACGACGACGACGACGACGGTGTCGCCTCCGCGGGCTCCCCCGCGCCGATGCGCGAGCACTGGGGCGCCCCCCATCGGGGGACAGCCGCGGATTCCCTCGGGAGCCCCGGAAACGCCTTTTGAGCGTGCGCCTCAGGGCCTCCTTTTGGGATTCAAGTATAAAAGCGGAGGACGTACAGCCAAGTCGCTGAAATAAGGAACAGTTTGGGTGGAAAGGGGCTCGATATTCCTTAGGTCCTTCTATGGCTTTTCCTCTTGCCTTCCTCGTGCACGCAGGCGCTTGTGGGGCCAAAAAGGGGCTTCGCTCCTTGTTTATCGCTCCTTCTTTCAGCAGCCCGACTGTATCGAGCGGGAAGGCCGTCTGCGACGCCGAGGCGGGAGCGCCAGTCCCGACTCAGAGGCAGGGAGGCATCGAGCGGGAGCGCCGGGGTTGTTGGAGAGGCTGCTCTTCGGAGGCGAGCAAGAGCCCTGATCCCAAGTGGAATAGAAGAGACTTATCGATCAGGAACGTTGCAGAAGTGGCGGTTGTCGTTGACGATTTTTTCCTTGAAGGATTATTTATGTTCATCCCCCCACTGGAGTACATAGTGTTTTTTCATTTGAAGCGCCCTCCATCGGGGCTCGCACCCTGAACTACAGCAACAACGGCTCTCGCCGCATATTTCTTACAAGTTAGTCCAAAATCGCGCTTTCGCGCGGGACTTCCTCACAATGTATGCAGGAATCGCGCTCTCGCGTGGGACTTCCTCGCTATTTTTTTAGATGCCGCGTCCTCAACAATCGAGAATCATGCTCTCGCTATGGCCTTTTCCGCGTTTTATTTGGGAATGGCGCAATCGCTCGAGACTTCCTCGCGATTCATGCAGGACCCACGCTTCAGCAACCCGCCTGCTCGATCTGGCCGCCTGGGCCCGCCGTCCCGATCCGCCCGTGAGGGTCTGCTCGCCCGATCTGCCCGTCTGGTTCTGCCCTGCGTTTTCTGCTAGCTGCTCGCCCACCTCCCGTTAATTTCTCTCCCGCTCCATCTTTTTCCCTCCCCCATCCATCCGTCCTCGTTTTCCTTTGTTTAGGGGCTGCACTGCACGCGCGTGGCAAGTAAGAACATACCCCCAAATGGGTACGATCGAAGATGAAGAGGGTGGGCACCGAGTGTTTCGAGTATACGTGTTGAATGGAGCGATCAGTCCCAAGACTGTGATTGTTGTTGCTGTTGGTTGCCGTTTTGTTGTTGTTGGTGATGGTGTTAGTGTCAGTGTTAATGTTAATGTTAGTGTTAGTGTTAGTGTTAGTGTTAGTGTTAGTGTTAGTGTTAGTGTTAGTGTTAGTGTTAGTGTTGTTGTTGTTGTTGTTGCTGTTGTTGGTTGCCCGTTTCGGCGGAAACCCGAAACGAGTGATCCTGAGCGTGGACCTGATTTTCGAAGGAACTGCAGCCGGCGCCTAGGCGAGAGCGCCAGGACAGATGTAAGGTGTCCAACCGTAGTATTGCTGGTGATAATCAGGGACTAGTGAAGCCCCAGGGCCTCTTGGGAGTTTGAAATGAAAGTGGAAGAGGTACTGAACACGAGTTTCGGTGTTTGCAATGGGGGCCGCTTGCGGCGCCAGTCCGGAGCAAAAAGCAAGGATGTATCGAGCAGGAGCGCCGGTTTTGATGGAAAGCCGGCTTTCGGCAGCGAGCAAGAGCTCCAGTCCCGAGCAGGAAAGGAGGAGGCATCGAGTGGGAAGCTTGTTCGTGGGCGGCCCGTTTCGGCGTCGAAGCCCCCCCGAAACATTTGAGCGCGAGCTTCATTTTGAGAGGGAGTCCAGCCGGCGCCGAGGCGAGGGCGCCGGTGCGGATGTGGGGTGTTCAACCCTATTCTTTGAGAACGTTCAGCAAAGCAGCGCAGCGCAACAACACCGAGAATCGGCGCAGCGGAATCGCATTTCAGCCACGCACCAAGGAGCAATGAATGTCCGTTCCGCCCCTTTACTCTGACCACGCCGTTTAGCCAGGCCAAGGACTTCGGTGTATACGCGCCCCATTTCAGGGGCAACGATAGGAGGGGATAGGGTCAGGGGGGAACGCATCGACCCCGAATCGCCAATTGATCGCCGATAGGGGTCTGATAGCCCCACCCCGCCAAGGAACGTGCGGATTCGCTACGAGGGGGTCGATTATCCCCTCCCTGAGCCAGTCCCCCCCATATCGTTGCCCTTCACCAGTGTCCGACAGGCTGGGCAGCTGGGGCGTACATACACCGAGCTTCTTGGCCGGCCAAGCGACGTGGTGTCTACTGTCGGGAATTTTTGGGTAGCGTGCCGCTCCACCAGTCCTGGTCCACCGCGCTTCGGCGCGACACGCTATCCACTTCGCGGCCCCCAAGCGTCCGCGTGCCCATGTTGTCCTTGCCTCCCACCTCGCGAAGCGCAGCGATACGCTGTCCACTCACAGGACAGAGCGTGTCGCAGGGGCCGCCGGGCCGACACGCTATCCAAAAGTTCCCAGTCGTATGCACCTAGCCTCTTGGTTGGCCAAGTGACGCGACGTATACACCGAGCCCCTCCCAGCCGCGCGGCGGCATCGGGGCCCACCTGCCGAGTCGCGCCGAGCGCGCGGGTCCCTCGGAGGCGGGCC